AAAAAAAAAAAAAAAAATCTCGTGATTCTTGACTCTGGCCTTGAGCAAATCATTCTTTCTTTTGTTTCTTCCGCTGGAAAATTTGGAATTTTTGACTATATGATAATTCTCACATTCTACTAGTGATCTTGGTTCCCGAAGATTCTAAGAGGAGTAAATAAGGTTTAATGAACTTGGTTGTCTTTTAGAGAACAATGATCTTTAGGCCATGAAGATCTCCTTGATGGTATCCAGAAGTCTGATTGGTCAGGCATTGTGATCAGTTTTGATCAACAGGAATTTCACCTCCTGCATACCAACCTTACTCATTAAAGTTCCCAGTTTTATTCACAGGCCTCATGCTTTGGCCAAACTGAAAAAATAAGATTTAAGAGGAGTAAAAAAGTTTTGGAAGATTCTTGAGAACAGCTAGGTGTGGTGGCTCACACCTGTAATCCCAGCACTTGGGGAGGTGGAGACGGGAGGATTGTCTGAACCCAGGGGCTCAAGATCAGCTTGGGCAACTTGGTAAGACCTGTCTTTACAGTAAATCAAAAAATTAGCCAGGCATGGCGGCATGTGCCTGTAGTTCTAGCTACCTGGAAGGCTGAGGCAGAAGTATCGCCCAAACACACCAGGTCGAGGCTGTGGTAGCCATGAGCATGCCACTGCACTCCAGCCTGGGCAACAGAGACTCTGACTCAAAAAAAAAAGGAAGATTCTTGAAAACAGGGGCCTCCATTAGGTTTTTAAATATGGCTGAAGGCCGGGTGTGATGGCTCAAGCCTGTAATCCCAGTACTTTGGGAGGCCAAGGCAAGAGGATTGCCTAAACTCACGAATTTGAGACCAGCCTGGGCAACTTGGTGAGACCTCTTCTCTACAATAAATTAAAAAATAAGCCTGGTGTGGCTACTTAGAAGGCTGAGGGGAAGGATCGCCTGAGCCCAGCAGGTCAAGGCTGTGGTAGCCATGAGTATGCCACTGCACTTCAGCTGGGTGACAGAGTAAGACTCCAACTCAAAAAAAAAAAGTGACTGAAAAAGACTTTTGCATTAGTTGATTATCAGTAGCCATCTAATTCTAAATCTAACACTAAAATACCCAGAAAAATGGCAGCACCTTTGTAGAGAAAAAAGAACTAAGTATAAAATTCCCAAATAGAACCAAATTTTTTTTTTTTAGTTGGGGTCTCATTCTGTCACCCAGGCAGGAGTGCAGTGGCATGATCATGGCTCATCACAGCCTCAACCTCCTGGGTTCAAGTGATCCTCCTACCTCAGCCTCCTGAGTGGCTGGGACTACAGGCACATGTCACCTTATCCGGCTAATTCATAATTTTTTTTTTTTTTGTAGAGATGAGGTCTTCCTATGTATGTAGCCTAGGTTGGTCCCAAACTCCTCAGCTCAAGTGATCCTCTTGTCTTGGTCTCCCAAACTGCTGGTATTATAGATCTGGGCCACCATGCCCGGTCCTAAACTTTTTTTTTTTTTTTTGAGTTGGAGTCTCACTCTGTCGCCCAGACTGGAGTGCAGTGGCCGCTCCTAGCCACCGCAGCCTCGACTTGCTGGGCTCTGGCGATCCTTCCGCCTCAGCCTTCTGAGTAGCCGGAATTACAGGCATGCACTACCACGCCTGGCTGATTTTTTGATTTATTGTAGAGATGAGGTCTCGCTGCCCAGGCGGGTCTCGAACCCGCGGGCTCAGGCAATCCACTCACCTCAGCCTCCCAAAGGCGTGGGATTAGAGGCTGAGCCACTGAGCCTGGCTAAACTCTTAAAATTCAAACATTTTGAGAAAACTCATAGTCCTAAATGTAGACAGTGGGTGGGGAGGAAAGAAAAAATAAAAACTCATGGACTGAAAAATGTTTCCTGTTAGGGGTTTTAAAAAGTGTCTGTTTCGGGCTGTCAAGGTATTTTAGAACCCCAAATGTTAGGTTTGAATATCCCATGCACTTGAGTATCTGATGCGTGGAGAGCCACACAGTGACACATCAGCCCTTTAGAGCAGAGAAAGGTTTTCAGTTTGGTCAAAGCATGAGGGCAGGAGAGGTAAACTCTCAAATCCAACCTGCCTATGAATAAAACTGGGGACTTTAATGAGTAAGGTTGGTATGCAGGAAGTGAAATTCCTGGTGATCAAAGCTGCTCACTTCACCCGGCCAATCAGATTTCTGGATGCCATCAAGGTCTGCATGATCTAAAGATCAT